AATTCCCCAATAGCTGGCGGCCAAAGGCCACCCTGCTAATTGCAGTTGCCTAATAGCTAGATGCAAAACAATAGGAAATGCTGCAGTGCATAGTAGTTCTAACTAAAACGGGACCGCCAACCTTAGCAAGGGAGACCGGGGACCGCCAGCCTTAGGAAAAAAAAAAAGTGCTCCGCCATAAGACCTTGGCCCGAAGGGTTGCAAAGATGGATCTGCTTCTTCTGAGTGCTCCGCTGGAGTCGGGAAGTAAAGGGCCGTGGCTTGCAGATTCTGTGTTTGGCTGGGCAAACCTCTCGTGCTGAGTACTGATGACCGCAAGCGCCAGTGACGTGGAGTTCGTGCGTGGCGAACCCTTGCCTACGTAGCAAGCATGGTTGTGCAGTTTGAAGCAAAAGCTCAGGTGGATGCGAGCCAGCAGTCTTCCAACTATGATCCTCGCCCTGTGTATCGCGCCCTACGTCGGAGACTTGTTCAACAAGCAGGTGCACCACCCAAACCTCTCCGCGTGAATTTAAGTATTGAGTGGGCTCGTGCAGCACCTCCACTCCTGAACAGCACATCAGCAGCACATGTTGCATAGGAGTGCAGGTTGCCTTTATTGACATGGCCAGCATCGACCAAACCGATCCGGTGCAGAAGGAGCAAGGCATCTCCAGCATTGCAGGTTTCCTCAAGAAGTCCGACGAGCTGCAGGTTATGTGGTCGGTCGACTATCTTTCTCGTCTGTGGCACACTTAGAGGGCCAATTGGTGTCCATGGAAATCAAGAGCAAATGCACAAACAAAGACAACAACAGTAGCTTGAGCAACTATCGCTAGCGTAGCACCCGGAGGGGTGGCAGCAGCACGTGCTGCCGTACAAGCAGCTGTATCCGGAGCCGACCCGAGATCAACAAATTCACATGTTGCCGTCTGACATCTAAGGTGGTGCGTGTTCGAGCTGGCTGCTTACCGCACAGCAAATCCGTCAGGAAAAATCACCTTGATGCCTTTGTTCGTGGAGAAGACCTTCGCAGTTCTGATTGTAGCCGTCTATGGCTTTACTTCCGTGTGGGTACTGGCGGAGGCCAAGTTTATACCTCTTGGCTCAGAGGTGTGGATATTCGGTGTTGCCTTCGTCCCAGTTGGCCTTTCTGTGCATGCTCTCCGAAAGAGCTTCTTGTCGAAGCACCAGCTGCTGACAGCGCTGGCGAACTTCGAGCTTGAGAATTCCACCTGCAGTTCTGAATTCGACAGGCGTTTTATCCTCCGCTGCATCCGCCGATGGTACGGCGGGCCAGAGCAATTCGAAAGCTTTGTTCGCAAGGAGCTGCGGGAGGAGCTTCTCACACAAATCAGACAAACCAGCTTCCGATCCGGGCATCCCGGCAGCCGCACAGTGCACGCGAAGTCAACAGCTCCTGCATCTGTTTGCTAATACTTCCCGATCCCGTGGCGAACAGTGTTTCTTTCTTGGCCCTGTGACTTCCGAAGGTTTGTGCGATCCAATTAAGGGGGCCCCAGCCGCGGAACATAACAATTACCCGGAAGACCTTGCACTTGGATTCCCTCCCAGGTATTACCTCGTTACCGTGGTGCCATCTGTTTGCGCCGGCTTAGACAGCCTTGTGTGCCTCTGGAGACCGGTTTTGCTTAGTTCTGCTCATGGGCGCCTGTAGAACAGTCTTGTACAGCTAAAGCGGTAGTATGAAGGAGAGGACAAGCTCCGACTGCAGCTCTGGTGACACACTTCGTCTGCTTGGTGCTGGCCTTCGACATCTGTTGGATAGTGATCACCTTCAAGCTGCACGGCCAAAACTAACGTCTTCCGAGATACCTCCAAGCTCGGAGGCCCCAACCCAACCCGACACTTTCGAGGCTTGTGCTGCTGCTCTCAGATGGCTCGGCGCAGCTCTGCTTGGGCCGCTTCCGCTTCTTGGATTATGCCATCTCCTTGATGATCTTCGTGGCAAGCGGCATGATTTTTATGATCGGCCTCGTCGGGTCACGCCTGGCGCGGAATACCTTGAGCGCCTCAAGCAGCACTGGAGTCTTGCAATGTGGACACACAGCCCGAGTGAGAACTCGCTACCAAGCTCCTATGCTCCGGGCCCTGGGCGTCAAGCCCTGGAGACCCAAAACATCCCAGAACCCCGATGCCGAAACCCTAAGCGCCTAAACCTTGCATGCACCATGCGGTAGTAAAATTGCGCTCAAGACAAACAGCAACTTGTTCGATGGTCAGCCGCGGCATGCGCACCACTGTGAAGCCCTTCAGCCCCGTTCGTGCAGTGCAGATGCGCATCACCAGGCGTTTCCACGGCTCTCGGTTGGCTGGCGCTTTCGTGCATCCTCATGGCTCTCACTTCTGATTGCGTGTGGCGTCAGGTCCTTTTAGCCCTCCGAAGGAGGTCCAAGGTCTGATGTAGAAATGCTCATCCCAAATCCTGTGTGCTTCATTCGACGAAGCGAGATCACACAGCAGAAGCGGCGATGAGCGGAGTTAGTGATTCAATTTACCGACGCACGATGCATCACGATGCGCTTGGAGAGCTTGTGCTCGGTAATTCGCCTCAGAGACGGAACTTCTTGTCCCCTCTTGATATTTTCAAGACGACGGACGGTTCCTTCTCTTATTCAATGGGTTGTCACGGCCGCGGAAGTCGCAGCCCCAGCCCTACACTGTGAACCAAACTTTCCTAGTCAAGCACTCCCGACTTTCCATCTGACCGGGAAACAATGCAAAAGCCTCAAGGGCCAAAAACCATCAGGCTGTTGTTGGATCGAATTTCGGAGTCGGTGTCACAGGATTCGCAGCAAGCTGCAAGCTCGTCTAGAGGGCTGGGAGACCTTGGCTCAGTGTGACATCCAAGGTCTCGGGCTTTAGGGTGTGGGGTTCAGGATCTGTGGCCACTTTCGAGGTCCACTAGTGTTGGGTTGCATGTCGGAACTCTGCACATCTTGTAGATGCGTGCATGCCCTTCGGACAGCAGCTTTGCATACCTTTTTGAGGTTGAGCTTAATCCCTATAGATACCCAGAGGTCATGAGGTCGCACAGTTTACGCGTCTGCTTCCGAGCTAGCGAGTGCTTTGGGGGTTCTGCTCAGCCCTCGTCCTCGAAAGTCTTCCTTCCTTCGCTGTCCTAAATGTCCTAAACCTCGTTCCTATGCATCATGGTTTTGATACGCCCTGGAGTACTGAACTTGTTGGCCACGGGCATGCCAGGAACCACATGGGTTGAGAAAGCAGAGGCAGTCAGCCGCTCAGCCTGTGTCGAAGAAGGGGAATGCGTTGGGAAGGCCCGTCGCGTAAAGACCGAAGCGTATACTCAAGTTCAACTTAAAGATCCACCGGATGAGCTTTTACGTTGCAGCTTGTTTTCTTGCTTCAGGTTGGCCAATGAGGCTTACTTGAGTTGTGTGGGCTCCTAATCGGCGGTGTGGGGTCTGCACGTGTAAGGGTGTTTTGCATCGGTTGGGATGTCAGCAAAGGGACTCGAGCATGAGGGTTTGGGGTTGGGGGGGGGGGGGTCGACCTTTTTTTCCTAATTCTCCTCGCTTCTGTGCTTCCGGCCTCTTCTTTGGCTCCTTTCTCCAGCCCGCTTTGGTCTGCGATCGCACCCGCCTCGTGGCAACAGTGTGGCCATGGAGCCTCGGCCGTGAAGAGCAGAGTTTCGAGAGGGCTTCAGCCATCTTCAGCCTTCATCCAGGTTTCGGAGAGACAAAGCCCCCCAGCGGGGAAGGTTTTTGAGGAATCGGGCGCAGTGCCCGCCACTCAGAAAGTAAGAAAGAGTGAAATCCTCAAGAACTGTCATATTTTTCTAGAATTTCAGGTCTTTTAGATTCACCCAAAACCCGACAGTGCTCGCTCTGGCCGAGAAACGCTCAGACGTTCAGCTACGGAGGCACAGCCGGTGCCTGTGGCCTCGGGCGTCCCGGTCACCAAGTCGGCCGCCTACCCACCGAGGCCAGTAGCTGCACCGCAGGCGGGAGGGCGTGGCACAGGACCATTTGGCTGCGGAACACAGCGTAATTTTAAGGTGTGGGGCAAGAAGGGTATGCAAATGTTTTAGGGCATTCAGGTTTGGGACCCGATTCACGTAATACAAGATTTGCCGGAAGCCATTCTCATTGGTACACGTCTTGCGGAAGCTTCTGCAGACCCTTGCCGACCGACTGGGAGTGGACTTCTAGAACTTCTAGACATACGCTGTGAATTGAGATGCAATATTCTTCCACCTCTTTCAGGTCTATTACCGTCCCGGCACCGTCGCCGCCCCGGCCACCGTTACCTATGCCGCACCTGCTGGGACGCTGGGGCAGCCAGCGGCGGTCCGTTCCGTGGTGACAATGGCGCCCACGCCGGTGCAGGGCTCGGATGGCTGAGCGCAGGTTGATAAGACTAAGGCTGTGTATAAGGCCAGTGACTTTAGGAAGCCGTGGGTTCATGCGTCCGTGGAAAATGGAATACCCTTGTGAGGGTGAACCACTTCGCTTGGCTGAGACCTGTGCCCAAAATCACGAAACTGCTTCGGCCGTCCATGCATGTGTGCGTCCAAGCCTCCAGCGAAAAAACCATCTATCTTCGAGCCTTGTTGGCAACTTTGCCATCGCAACTGTCCTGGTGCCTCCCGGTGCAAACCCCGCAGCGATATCGGACATCCAGCAGCGGAGCGTTTCTAGAGATTTCCCACGCAGCATCTCAGGTGGCCACCTCCGTCACTTCGGCACCGCTCTCCGTCTCTACGCGCACGCTTGGCCAAGCCGTTTGGCACCAAACAAAGCAGGGCCTCAGTTTTGAGTGGATTGCTGTTGGTATGATTGTAAGGCAGAGTTGACTGAGCAGTCCTGCTTGCCCCTGCCTTTCCGCGAAGTGGGAATATTTGCAGACTCGCAGAAGCCGAGAATCCTCAAGCGGAGCAGTGCGGCCGAATGACATCCCCAGGGCCCCGCTACCCTGCATCGCTGAGGTTGGTGTGCCCCAGGTTGCCACGGCTCTTCCTCCAGGGGCACGGATTATCCGCACCTCCCAGCCGACAGTGGTGCCGGGCGCACAGGTCGTGCCGGCGTCTGCGACAAGGCGCAGACTGGAGAGTGAGATGTGATTTCCATGGTTCCCCTGAACCTTGAGCGGCTTGGAGGCTCGGCTTTTGGGGCTGAGGTTCAGGGCCGGCTTTGTTGAGGCCGACACCACAACCAGGGGCCTCAACCCACAACGAAGCCCTGTACCTGCCGCCGGGGGCAAAGATGCTTTTGGGTTTGGGAGCGAGGGCCCGTCCTGTGAGGCCCAACACGGTGGGCGGGCCGGCCTACTCTCAAAGTGCGTATGCTCCTCGGCAGCTTTCTTGAGTTGGCTTCGTGCAGCCCATCCGCTTGGGTCTGAGATATCCAAAAAGATGGCCAGCAACCACTTTGCAAATGCCACGTTCAAAAACAACCACTGAAGGCTATTGCCCGCAAATCTCAGCAGCACCTCCAAGCTTTCATTCCAGCGAGGAAACTAAGCACGAGAAGGATGCGCAACTGCAGAACCTGATTCTCGGCGCTCCCGTCGTAAAAGCAAGATTCGAAGGTTCGATGTCAGGCTTCATGCTGCCTGTGCTTGGCTTGAATTTCAGGAGAGGCTTCGTTCTACGTTCTAAGCAGCCGCTCTTCACAGGTTGGTTTGGGAAGCGTTTGGCCATAAAGTCCGGCCAGTAGCCAAGAGCAATTCGCGCTTCGCTCTAGCGGAAGCTTGCAGCTTTGCTGTCGCAATGAGCTCCACGTCCACGTGCACATCATCCAAGGAAGGAGCTCAGGAAAACATGTGGGCTCAAGGAGATTCCTGTTCACGATGGGCTGCAGGCAGGCCTGCAACCCAAGTCAGTCCAGAACCTTACAGGGTGTTCGGCTGTATATGGAACAGACCAGCCGTGCATGCACGATGATTTTAATGTTGATTTTTCAACCGCGAAAGACACCGCACAGGCATTCAAAAGCGCTGCCGCAACTGTGGACCAGGACCAGGAGCCTCTCAACTTCTTGGTTGCAGAGGTTGTGTTCCAATCACCGAGTTCAAGATTCATCGGCGTGATTGATTTGCTTTTCGGCGCTTCCAGCGGGTCGTGTGGGAGCACGCTTTGGCATCAAAGGGAATGGTCCCCATCCAATGTGCAGAGAGAGCGGTGTTTGGACTGCCAAAACTCCATCTTGGAAGGCTATGTGAATTGCTCTGCAGAGCATATCCCTCTCCAACGCCCTAAACACCACAGTTTAGTAGCTTGAAATAGAGAGTTAAGCAGCGTGACATACCAAGTGGGGGGGGGGGGGGGGGGGGG